GACGGCCTCTTCATCGCGGCCCTGCTTTACGAGCCAGCGGGGGGAGAAGGGAAGCCACCAGATGCCGAGGGCAAGGAGGGCGGCGGGGACACCCTGGATGTAGGAAGGGAGTCTCCAGGCGAGATCGGATTGGCCTTCGCCGATGCCGCCGATGTAGTTGCTGCCATATCCGATCCAGAAGGAAAGCATGATTCCGAGGATGGTGGCGAACTGGTAGAAGGAGACGATGAAACCTCTCATTTCGGGGGCGGCGAGCTCGGCGTTGTACAGGGGACTGAGGAGATGTTTAGCATCGTGTCCTCGGTGCAAGTTTCCAGACAGACGATAGACTTACCCGACACCGCTAAAGGTTCCGACACCGAGACCGGTGAAGAATCGGCCGGCGTAGAGAAGCTCGGGCTTGTGGTAGCTTGCGCCGGTATAGAGGTAACTGCCGAGCACGACCCAGAGACAGGCGGAGAACATGGTGTACTTGCGTGAGAAGACCTCGCCAAAGACACCGGCGCTGACGGAACCCAGGATACCGCCGAGCTGAAGGATAGATGTCAACCAACCCGTCGCGCTGGAAGAGCCGACGACGGAAGGGAAGTTATCCTTGAAGCGCGTCATGACGAGGGATTGTCCAAGAACACCTAGGAAGACGGGGAGGTTAGTGACGGAACAGCTACCACCGAGCTAGGGAGACGAAAGACATACCCTGCTGGTACCCATACTCGAAACCTCCAAATGATGCAAAGAGAGCAATGACGAGAATCTTGGGGTTGTTTGCCAGAGACTTCCATCTGTTCTGGTAGGCAAGCTGTGTGCGCGCCTCGGCGGCGGAAGCAGCTTGGATGGCCATGATGGCAAAAGATACCGAGGAGTCTAGCCCGCGATTGAGAATTGGCCTCGTAACGCAAGACACCGAGTGACAGTCACGGGAAGCAGGAGCCGAGAATAACAGAACGATCACCTCACCCAACAGGCCGGGTCATCGTCTGTACTTATTCTTGGGAGCACCGACGCTAAGGACTGCCTTCCTGGGGGGTGGTTGACCAGGGAGACGTCCTTTGGTGATGGGGCAACTTTTGCCAGATGGGGATAGGATGTGTCAAGTTTTGATGCGACTCTGTGTACTCCGTAGACCGTCCCGCAAGGTCGAACGAGATGGGCCCCGTGGGCTAGGTTCTTGGGTCCGTCCCTCGTGTCAATCTTATTGCTAGCTCCTTGGGTTCATCATTGACATGTTTGAATCCTCTCGTCTATTATGTTCCAGACATGTTGCTTCATCTACTGCGTTGGTGAGATTCTCAATTGTTGGAAATCCGGGGTATGTCAGATCAGCGTGGTGGGATCTGAGTACTGACCGACATGGTGCTTATGATCCCCAAATCCGGACGTCGGCTCCAATACGCGTTCTGCTGCCGCTCGCTCTTTGCCCGATGATCACCTCCCCCAGGTTTGGCATCTGTTGGCATTCGCTCAAGACTTTCCGAGCCCGAAGCATCTCCAACCCCTTCAGAAATCCTTCGGCTCCTCTAGCAATAACTCGAGGAACAAGCAGCGGAGTCCTCCGTCTCTTTTCCACCCCCTGGTTCATGGAGTTCCTACATACCCCGCCCACCCGCACACAGAGAAGTCTGGCACATCACACGATTTGGTCCACCCCCGCAGCGGGTTCTCTCAGTCGTAAAAAAACAGCAAAAAAAGAATTACGGGAGACAAAAAGGCCAAGGCGTGTAACGTCGGGGAAAAGTCCCGGAGCTAACACCAGAAGCGGAAGTTGGCCGAGTTGGTCTGAGTGGATTCAAAGCAGAAATCTTTACCACTTCCCCACCGCCCGCGGCAGAGTGCCAGAGACAAAAGTGTTCGTGAGTCGTGACTAAGGTGTTCTTTTCCCGTGGGGAATGTTTTGACTTCTCTGGGGATCCCGCTGGCCCAGATTCGACTGAGGATGGTGAGGGGAAAATCCCCATCTCGTCAGCAGTAGCACCGAGAAGAGGCCGTTGGGTCGACATCAACTGATCGACGTGCAGATATACCGGCCACAAATTGAAAGTCTCAGCTTTTTTCAAGATTCAACGGACCGCCCACATGGCCGCCACGTTAATTTGATGGGTTCCGGATGAGAGAACATCCCTCTTACCGGGACACATACCGGGATATTCGTCGAAGCTCCGGAAAAAAAGTCAAATTGAGCCGCACCCTTGGCAACGATGCCGGGACCGCGCTATTACCCAACTCGCCCACTCCTCGATGCTTCTAGACTTGCTCTTATGGTTATTGAGCCCGGGTACTTGCAAGTCAGGAGTCATACCATCCCCGGCGCCATGCTGCTGCTTGACTAAGAGTCCCACAGCAACGTTACCTAGCAGGCTAGTTCGCGTGTGCTCGACCTCGTTGCCCGCGGGGTTGGTTTCTGACTGGTCCCTGTAATCAAAGGCAAAACTTTTCTGCAGGCGAATTCGCTTCTGCAGTGCGCTCGTCCAGGCGATTCTCGTGTCGGCAGGGCCCGGCCGAGTTGCTCGAACTTTAGTTACCTTTGACCGATGAAGTTTGCGTCATTGAGTCGCAAAACATTGAAGCTCGGTGTTCTCTCCGGCGATATTTAGTCGGTTTACGTAGCCGGCGCTAACCAGGAGAGCTCCATAGTTGTGATACTGAGCAATCGTCTGTTCATGATCCCATGATGGCATCAAATTTTCTACCAGCAAAAAACTCGTCACCGCTTCAAGTCAATATTGATGCATCGTGAGCCGTGCATGATACCCTGTTATTACTGGTGGGGAGCACAACAGGACCCTTTCCCACCTGCGGGCGAAGTCGGAAGAGCAATAATGAATGCCCCACGATGTCGCTTTCTGAGTCTCTTGGGAGATGCTCGAGAGAAAATAGCGGAGTTGACGATTTGCTTCCTGACTCGATGCGTCGTGGTCTCGGCAATCTCTGCCGGGAAGCGTACATGGAACCGATGGTTTCTTTTGCGCGGGCTGCAACTTGCCAGATGTATTTTTCTCGGCACATACTCCGTATGCCATCTGTGAGACTGGAACTTTTTATTTGGCATGCTGGCTTATTATAATCATGACACATTCCTGCACTATGTCAAGACGTCGTCACGCTTTTGGTCCCACGTTCTATCCGCTACTCATTCTGGGAGGCTTGGAACTGCACAGGGACATGGAGGACATGCCTATTCAAGAGGGAAACCTTGAAGGGGCATTAAAGCAGCATGCTCTCGGTGGACAGTCCATAATTACTTGCGTTGAGAACCAAGGCAGGCCGGCCGACTGAGTAAGCTTCGCTATGTGTATTGAGTTAAGGATCACATGCGAACACAGTCGCGTCTGGAGAGGCCAATATTAGTGCGTAAAGGTTGTGCATTATAAGCTACCTAACCTTCATTGATCATTCCTCAGACCAATTTTGAACAAACATCGTTGGAGCCGTGCAGGTGGACTTGAGACACGTCGTTGGAAGTCATGGTCTTCCAAGTTCAGAGGTGAAACCGCAGAGCGACTCCAATGATGGTAAATCCTACGGTAACGACGAAGTGGAATTCAGCTTCTCGATCGGCAGTCATCCGAAGTGCATCTGACACGTGGGTGAACCACGATGTTGGGTCATATCATCGGGTCCCTTACATTGAGTGTACATGAACCTAAGGATCCATCGACGGCAGTTGCGACGAAGATTACTCCGGGTACGCTCATGCAAGGTAACCTTTGAAGGCGGGTAGTCCCGCAGGTCGACAGCGAGAGGGAGACTTGGCTCTGGACACACTATGCAGTCCAGAGAGCCCCTATGGAAGGGAGTGTCAGGCTTGTCCCCCCGCAACATTCCCGTTGAGGCTGGAGAGACATCCGGAGAGGCCGGGGTAAATTCCGGGGTTCTGTGGGGTTGAGTGTGCTTGATTCGTTGACATCAGCAAAGCACAACCGGCAGCCGACGATGCGTGTCACGGAACACGACGACTCTATGAGCGGTATCTTTTGGTATCGCAACTTTCAACAATTGACCTAATTGGAAGCTCGTAAGGTTGAATGGCTTGGACTGCATCGCAAGCTCGGTCTACCAATGTCACGGTGAGACCCCCAAAGGCAGGTGCTGCAGGCTACATCATCTGAGCAGGATCAGGCCTAATCAATTTCGTTCCAAGGAAGTCAGAAGTATGCTGCCTGGAAACAAGCTGAATAAGATGGAACATTCAGAGTTTTCAAGTTGGTAAGCCTGGTGATTATGGCCTTGTCATCTATGAGGAGGTTTTGTCAGCGGCTGAAGTCTGAAGCATCCCGCCCCTAGGGTCTTGTGCCTGACTACTTCAGTACAACCAAAGTAGATGCTCAGAATTTTTGGTTTTGTGCTTTTTGAAACATTGAGAACGTTACAGCATTTGTACTTAACGGAGCTAAGTTCGTGTGCCTGTTGGGGTCTCCCCCAATTTGATGGTATTTGGCCATTTCGCAGGACCCTCACTTAAAGTCTACCTTGACATTGGTACACTGGGCTCAGCCATATCTGGCGCCGGTCCAGACCATAGCATGTTGACGATGTATGAACTTTCATGATGGCGTGTCCGAGATCCATTTTGAAGAGTGGAACGAAGGACTGAAACGACCGCGACAATTCCCTTCGGGGACGAACCGAGGGGCGGCACGTGCCGTGGCACCTGCCATGTCTATTTTCGGAAGAGATTGGTCGGATAATGAAGTTTGGACTGGAAGTTTGCTTCGTTCAATCATCCTGGCGCTATCCTTATTACGACATACATGATGGACGGAGGTTAGTAGGTCATGTTGTTGAGAGAGAGGAAGACTGGGAAACAAGTGCTGGCGGTGATTAGATAAGACAAAGAAAGGCCTTTAGATAATCGAGATGGATAGATGAATACATTTATCCGAAACAAGGGGCTTACGTCAGGTCCGCTCGATATTTCTGTATCGGGGATGTGCCCCGCGCTAACCTGGCTAAGATAGCCCGTGCACGCAGCCCCTGCCCCACCATGGCGGGGAGCTGCTGCCGTTTTGTCACAGAACTCGACGGTCGACGTTTGGCACCAAAAAAGATGAGACACGTCGTCGCAAACAATTTCACGAGATAATCTGATAATCTCGCTGCCGTCCTCTCTCAATTGCTTCTTCTCTTCTAGATCACCCTCTACTCGATCCTCTAGATACCCAATCCCTCCGTCCAGATCCAAGATGCCTGGTATGGGTCCCCCCCCCCCCCCCGCCATCAGCCCTTCAACCGTCACCGCAAACCTCGCGCCAAGCTAATATCACCGTGCAAATGACAGCTCCCTACTCGACTGGCGACAAGACCTCGTTTGGTTGGGTTACTGCTCGCGAGCGTTGGCCCGTCATCATCGTAGGTCTTTGGTCTCCCTCTTGACAGTTGATCCCTTGCTGACAGCCCGGCCACAGACCCAAGCCATCGACGACCTCTACCGATCCGTCACCCAGACCAAGGACGCCGAGAAGGAAGCTGAGGGCAAAAAGATTATTGAGGAGGTTGTCAAGATCAAATACGAGGTTCAGCACGACCGGGCATTAACGTACGGCTCTCTCAATCCATACTCTCAGCGCAGCTGTTGCTGACCATAGTCACCATACCAGGCCGATCGAGGACGATGGATACCCCGACGTGAGCATCTACAATGAGGAGCTCAAGAAGCTCGGCTCTCCCACATGGCTGAACGTGCCATGGCTCTACACCGAGTGCTACCTCTTCAGGTAAGCTGCATTACTCACACCCCTTGGCGGACACGAGCTGACACAGCAACAGACGTATCAGCACGCACTTTGCCCGGTCCACCCACTGGAAGAACTACGACGTCTTCGCCCGCCAGAAGATGAGCACATTTAGATCGTCCCGCCCCGCTGTTGTCGAGCTGGCGTCAAAGTACAAGGAGCTTGTCGAGCAACTCCAGAAGAACAAGGGCGCAGCCCAGGACGAGGCCGCCGAGAAGCTTCTCTTCACCGAAATGTGCGAAATCTGCCTCTGGGGTAACGCGACCGACCTGTCCCTCCTGACGAGCTTGACGTACGAGGACATCCAGAAGCTGCAGGGCTCGGAGGCTCGCAAGGCGTCCGAGAAGAACATTGTCGTCAACGACCTCCCCGCCGTCTACGAGCTCCTGAAGAAGGCCAAGGCCGAGGGCAAGGCTGAGCGCCGCGTCGATATTGTGCTCGACAACGCCGGATTTGAGTTGTATGTCGACCTCATTCTCGCCGGATACCTGCTGTCTGCCGGCCTGGCCACCAACGTCGTGCTGCACCCCAAGTCCATTCCGTGGTTCGTGTCCGACGTACTCCCGGGCGACTTTGCCCAGCTATTGAGCGCCATCGCGAGCCCCAAGCGCTTCTACGAGACACCCTCAGAAGAGGAGGAGCTTCAGGGCAAGACGCCCGAGCCTCTCTCGGCTGCGGACTCGGAGAGCCTCGCCTTTCTCTTCCAGGAGTGGAGCCAGTTCCACGCCGAGGGACAGCTCATCCTCCGTCCCAACCGTTACTGGACACACCCCGGCCCCTTTTGGCAATTGCCCGAAGAGGCCAAGGACCTGTACGAGGACCTCAAGGCCAGCGAGGTTGTCATTTTCAAGGGCGATCTCAACTACCGCAAGTTGACCGGTGATGTGAGTACTGGGCAATACACCTTGTGTTGATGATGATGATACTAATACTAAACTAGGCCAACTGGGATGCTGCTACACCCTTCACGGAAGCCCTCAAGAACCTCGGCCCCGGATCCGGCCTCAACATCCTCGCTCTCCGCACCTGCAAGGCCGATGTCGTAGTCGGTCTCCAGCCCGGCGAGGACGAGAAGCTGCTCGCGACCGAGGGCGGCGGCGGCGACTCTGGCTCGAGGAAGTGGGCTTGGAGCGGCAAATGGGCCGTGGTGTCTTTCTCGGGCGGGAAATAAACTTGTCGCTTGATTGCTATGCTTGTTTTTTTTTTTTTTTCACTTTTGGTATTTACTTTACTGCCGCTATAGAGCCATGACCGATAGACTATTGAGAGAAACCCCCCCCCCCCCCCCCCCCCCCCAGACGCGAATAGAAAGGCTGTGGCCTCTTTGCCTAGCCTAGTCTAATTTCCCTCTTCGACCATTTGCGCTAGCTTTGCGCTTCTCCCACCGACTCCCATGGTACTTGTGTCTTCCCTCTTCAATTGTAACCTGGGTCTACCTTGAGGCTGTCGGACCCAATCTCCCGTCCCGGATTTATAGACCGGGACGCTGGGAGGTTGGTGTTTTGACTGTCGCTGCCTCGATGCCTCCCGGGCTGGTTTACATGTGCAGCAACCCGAACAGTGGAACTTTGGCGGTGTAGCTTGCCCATGGCCTTTAGAGTGCTCGGTTTGTTGAGTTGGCTCGGTAAGTTGGGTTCTTGCAGACTGGATAGTTGATTGAGACTGGGGGGTTGACTGAGACTGGACACTTGACTGAGATCCTTCCTCTGGCTCGAGCCCCATGGCTCGAAGCTCCGCCTGTTTCATCTCCTCGGGAGTTCTGTGTGGTATATTCGCCAAAGAAGATTCCCCTATCACAAACAGTTAGAACTCGTCGTTTTCTTCCTCAAGAACTGGAGATATTTACAAGGATCGCACCCATGGCAGAAGTCATGTTCACAGCTGTTACCCTCACACGTCATGGAATTTTCGTTATCCATGCCACACTTATGGCAGATCCAACGCCTGTCCCATTCCTCGTACTTGCACTCGATGGCGTCGCAGATGCCGCGGACTGTCTTTTCTGCGAGGGTGGGGTTTGAGCATCTTCTTGCAGTGATTCTGTATGGGCAGTCGTCGAAAGCGCGTTCGCAGTACGGCGTGAAGGAGTTTGTGTGGCCGCATTTGTAGTGATAAGTTGTTTTGATGCACATTTTGGCGGTGAGTAATGTCAGACTTGAGTAGCCTGTAGTGATGCGTTGTAGTTGTCGTGATGAAGAATCTCGTTGATTGTACGAATTATCGAGAAGAGGAAATGTGAAGAGGAAGAGGCCAGAGGAAAGAGGATAAAGAGGCCAGTGACTAGAGGCAACGGAGATGACCCAAAAGAGAACTTTGACGGGACGGAAGTTTTGTTTCATGGATGGTCTTGAATGTGCGGCGGTAAGGGCATTTCTGTCAACGCGGGACGGCAAGACACCTTGGGAGACATCGCGGCTTCCATGGTACACAACCTGGAGGGATGGCAGCTGAACTGGTGTTTCCCGACTTGCCTCTGCTACCCTGCTGGGTGTCTACTTCCTCTCCCCTCCACCGAGAGTTTGCGGGAAAGCATCACGGGTCTCACCAGACTCACCGAGCCTTCCCATGGAAACCTTTGCTTTATGAGGACCTCTGGAGACGGACATTGGTGAGTAAGATGTGTGTGAATTATGACTCGCTACCTCATAGTAAGCAAATAGTATCATTTGACAAAGGAAACATCTGGTCCAGACGAGCAGTTCTCCCAATAACGCCTATTCAGGTGCCAATTCGGCTCCCCCCAGTATTAAGTATCCCGTCTCTCTTCTCCCCGCCGCCTCTCCATCCACCCATGACCCCCCCCCTTCAGACTCAAACACAAAGCCCAGCACAGTCGGCACCCCCTTGAAGCGGGTGACAGTCATCCCGCGGATCATCGACGCACCACTTGCCGGCGGGGCACTTGATGGCCGCGATGCCGCCGCACATGATGGGCACGACGCAGATGCCCGGCTGATCGCAGGCCAGGCCGCAGCCCTTGCGGAAGGGGTCGTCGATGCACTCGAAGCTGGCGGGGCAGGGATTGGGCGTCGGGCGGAGGCCGCCGCACTCTTGGTAGATGTTTGTCTTTGAGGGGGCGAGAGAGATTGTTTTGGTAGCGGCGGGGCGGGATGTTACTGTTGAGAGGGAGGCTGATGCTACTGCGGTGGAATAGGAGGAAGAGTTTGGTGGTGCTAATGAGGAGGAGGAAGAAGAAGATCCTGGGGAGGATGCTGGTGGTGCTGGGACTGCTGGGGCGGCGGAGGAGGATGGTTGTGGGACGAGGGTTGTTGGTTGGGTTCCTGGCTGTGTGAGGAAGGGTGTTACGGCTGGTGCGGAGGCGGCGGCGGCGAGGGCTGTTGAGCCGAGGATGGCGAGGAGGTTCTTGATGCGCATCGTGAGATCCTTTGTCAGTATATCCTGGCTGTGGTTCGTGAGGATGGTACGTCTGCTGTCTACGGAGTACAGTCTAAACGTGTGTACAGTGGGATGGGCTGAGAACCTGGGAGACGAAAAGGATGAACAGCAAGAAGAAGAGAAATCGTGACTTTGCAAAACGGTAGGCCGTTGGGTTGTTGATGTATGAAATTGACATGTCTGTCGTCTGGAATGCGGTCAGATGGGTTGTCTTGGTGCTTCATCTATCCCGAATTCCAGTCCGCGGTGGGACAACACCACTCCACCGCAGTCAACGCCACTGTCACGACCACCCGCCAAGACAGCCTGCCACTTTGGGGGGCCCGGGAGCACCAGAAATTGGGATACGGGGTAAGGTTGTCTCCACGAACATTCCCCCCAAAGGTGGGTTGAGGACTGTTCGGGTTGGTGCGAGTTAGCTTCGTGTCTCAGTTAGGCTTGCGCCCAAAGGGAGGATTGACATGACACTTCCAGTTTGGGAGGCATCACAACATTGAAAAGGGTCAGGAGAGCGACTCGGGATGTGACTTGAGGTATCACGATAGTTTGTTCTTTCGCACGTATGTGCTGTGATGGATGTGGGATGCCGTGTGACGACCGGACTGCGGGGAGATCGCTCCCCTTGCAGTCGTGATGGAGGTCGTTCCCGGCAGAGCATCACTTTTTACGAATCGATTCGCGCTGCCAAGCATTTTTAGGCTGGCCGGATACATCAAGGCACTTTTACAGTGCGTTTTGAAGGTTTTGCAGATCTGTGCATCGTCAGTCTGCCTCGTGGTTGTGGCTGGCTGAGAAGCGGCGGCGTGCGGAGAGGGGTTGAGATGTTCTTGGCAAGTCGAATAACCGGCCGAGTGTGAGGTTGAAAGTCTTTTGCTGACTTGAAATCAGATGAAATTGGGTTGCCGGATATCTGCAAGGCTGGGACTGGTTCAGCTTGGCTCGTATCAGGTTTAATTCGTGAATGCCAACCGATGGTCGGCCTGCCTCCGTAGGCCGACCGGCCCCGCTTCTCCGAGTCGGGTCCGTCCGATCTCCTTCTGTCCCGTGCCGAGACATGTCGCCCAGGCCGGAGACTCCCTCACATGTCCGAGAGGTTGACTCCAACTCGGTGAGCTTGGGAGATCGACGATGATTCATTTTTCTTTCTCATTTTAGCAACTGTCACACCCACACAGGCGGAAACACGATGTCAATGTCGACGACTTTTGTCTCATACGCAGCCTACACCTTGTCCACCTCCACCTCCGTCAACTCCACCTCCAACCCCTCGAGCTTCCCTTCCAGAAGCTCGATCTTCCTCCCGCCGATGGCTCCCGGGCCTTGACTTCCTCCGCCATTTGGAACCGGCTCTGGTTCAGCAGGCCGTACGGCGTAATCGCCATCCCCTCGCTCCGGGAAAAGGGAATGATGTCCTGCTCCATATTCCGCATCGCGGCGCCCCACATGCCCCCTGATACACCGCAAAGAGCCAGGCCGTAAGTCGTGGTCGCGGACATACTAATTCGCCTGCGCCACGACCCAAACGGGCGTATCCGAGGTGTTCAAGCTTGCCTCAACTACGGGTGTCTTGATTTACGTATAATTGCTATTCCACGACGTAAAGAACCAACCGTTTGCTACTACATCGCATCCACTAGGTGTGAAAGAAAGGCTGCTCTTTGTTCCTCTGCTCTTTACATGCCATTTGAAGCCTATTGCTTGCTGACCATGACTTCTAAATCCGTAAGCTGTGTCTCATTGTCTAGCACTTGGTAGAACCGTCAACAATTGAGACTTGTAAATCAATGTTGTCATCCACGTAGCGGAGCCACTCGAATTCCAAACGCAGACCACCTACAGATAGTTGAGGAAAGATAGGGACTTTGGCCGTGGTCCCTCTTGGCGTTAGTTTTGAGTTGGACCTTTTGTATACAGCTGAAGTCGAAGGATTGATCTTTTGTCTACTCTGCGGTAATAGAGTGGGTAGAAAACAAAAGATCAACGGTCGGCCGACCGCCAAGACCGCCCACATGCCCGCAGCTAGGGCAGCAGAGTTCCTGACTTTGACAGATGGGTCTTTGACGGAGTCGGCTCATTGGGTGTCTGGAACATGACCTACCAGGGTCCCGAGTTGAGAAGTCCCGGGATAGCAATCTTATCTCGATGATCAATTTTTGGTGCGTCGCCATCGCGAGGCTGAGGAAGTGGGTTAGGATTGTAGGCGATGTGAATGGGGCAGAGATTTGCAGTGGGATGGAATGACTTTGTGTTTTCATGCCAAGAGGGAATCCATTTTGGTGAGCGCTATTGTGTATGCCAAGACGATTTACGTGATCCTTTGGCTTGGAGTTGAGGGAGTTTTGTCCAGACGTAGAGATTATGGGCTGATTGTAATACCTGGGCTTCTGAAGTCTCCAGGCATCGAATACTCAAAGTAAGGAGATTATCGGGCAGAGCGAGTATAAATATGAGGTCTAGTTCCAGGCAGACTCTCATTCTAACAACAGCAACAGCAACAGACTCAACAAACTCATCTGCGTGATTATAATCCAAATTACCGCTCAACTACCTCAACCACAATGCTTTTCAAGACCTTTTTCCTCATCACTGCCATGGTGGCCCCCTCGGTCCTCGCGCAATGCACGGGAGCGCCGTTCCAGGGGACTTGCAACGACTGCGTTGTCGAGTGCCACGATAGTGAGTCTAGCTTGGAGAAACCTTAACATGTCCAACATATAGATCTATCCACTGACCAAATTGAAGCCTACAATGGACCGGGCAGACAAGAATCGCTTCAGCGGGCCAGTTGCCAGTTTGCCTGCCTCGCGTTTTGCGACGACTGCGACTAAGGGACGACGGTGAAGGCCATAGTTTATCAATACATTGAAAGTCTTCGTGGTGCATAGTCATGTGCGTCTACGCCTGAGGTTTCGGAGGCTGATCTGAAGAATACGTTGGTCAAATGGTGGCGTAGAGATAGTTGTGGATTCTCAAGGAACACTGGCCAATTCATTTCAATAGCCTTGAATATCAGTGTTCAGAAAATTATATGAAACTCATCTTTGCAAATATACTCTTAGCATAATGTCACTGAGTTTGCTGGAGATGTGCCTCGGAGGTGACGCCACCAACACACATCCACGGTCAACCTTTAAGCTCTCGCTCATCCATCACGCCCCTCACTGACAGCTCCAGAGACAGACCACTGCTTTCGACTCGACTTTCAACAGCCATCAGTGACCCTTTCCCCCACATCGATTGACATCTCGCGCGACTGCTGGCCCCGGGCAACGCAGCCGTCAACGTCCTCCGCCGAGGGTTGATGAGCCGTCGTCGCCCGGTACGCCACGCCACTCTCCTACGTCTCTCTCTCATAGATTGATCACGAACCAAACGTCAACCAAGTTCCCTTGCTGACCGTACGGGGAACAGCAGACTTCCAACCACTTCCATCCGCCGCGAGCGTCTTCCTCCCATCAGTGAGCAACTGAACCCCGTTCACGCACCGTAGATCTCTAGGCTCAACTGACTCTTAGGTTACGGTTCTCGCTGCAGTACTGTCTGCCGTCAGCAACGTTCAAATCCGACTTCCGTCAGTAAGCGCCGGTCAGCACTGGGACCATGAAACATCGGGGGGCTAACGGGCGTTGGACCAGCAACAGCCCGACCATGCGCCACGTACCTATTGCGAGTAAGTCCATGTCTCCCCTCTTCGGGATTGACTCTTGTACGTGAATCTTTCTGACCTTCAGTTTCGTTACAAGCAGAGCAGCGTCAGATGCGCAAGGCCCTCAAGGAGCGGGCAGCCGTCGCCATGACATCGTCAAAAACCCCAACATCGTCCTCGGCAGTCCAGCGTTTGGTCATCTCGAAGCGGAACACCGGCTCTACTCCTTTGACACAGTAAAACACATAATCGGAGACGTCGGTACCGTCCATCTTCAGCACGGCAAGGGCGAACAGCATAACGTGTGCGTCTCGGTCCCACTCTACGTACTAAGCGTCTACACGTTGATCTTTTTATGTCTTGTTCTAGTCTCTCTCTCAAAAGAGGCGCAGCGAGGGGAAGTATGGCGCCGAGGAGCAGGGCACGCGTCTGAGGATGTGGTGAAGGCCTAGGTCAACGGCATACATGCCCAGGCGACGGCCGACGAGGTCTGGGCCGTAAAACCCAGCAGTCAGACAAGTCTCGTCGGTATTTCTAGGCGGCCGTCAGAATGCTAACATGATGTCCTTCATGTTATGGGCAGTTCCATTGGGTTGGGCGGGGTTGTTCGAGGCATCGCGGTTAGTTGACACGTTTTTCCTCTTGTCATACAGTCATTCACCATAGCTCATCACTGACTTACCCCCTCTAAAGTGTATGTCGTCAATGGTGTACGTTACCTCCCACTCACTCATTACTCGTGCTAAGTTGGCAAGGTTGAGCAGTCGGCTTGCTGTGGGCATCGCCTCCCTCCACCATTGGCTTACGCTGCGCTGACCCATCGTGAGTGGAAGCAAAGGTGTTGTGGATGTGAGAGGATCTTGAGGAAGAAGAGATCTGTCCGCTTTTCGACAACTCGGTAAGCCTTGTGCTCAACCCTGAACCTCGCTGTATGACCGTCATGCTGACCGCCGGTACCTACTCAGCTCAGTAGACGAATCTCTCATGCCCGCCTCGAAGGCAACAAGGTACTGTAAAGTATGTTGGTACGTCAGGACATTTGCGGACACGCCGTGAGTAAGGTTCCGCCACTATTGCCATGTCCGTCTTGATCATGCGGCTTCTAATGCACAGCAGTTCGGCGCCACGCGGGCCAGAAGGTTCAAAAGGTGCGGCAGCGCAACCTTGGGCGGCTCCGACCTTGATGGCATCACCGGTAAGCCCCGGCACTGGCACAGCCCTTGCACGTTTTCTTCCCCTTCTTCATGTTGATGTGTCTCTTGTTCTTGTTCTCATTTCTGGTTCAGTGACAGTCGCGGCTAACCACTTTTACGTGCCTATCATAGTCGTGGCCGAGTAGACGCTGGAGCGGACTGTGCGACGTTGAACAAATCATGCAAACGAACCATTTCCTGACCATTGCCAACTGGAGAGAAGCCCAGCCTGGTTTGACCGTGTTTGCTAGAGCTTCCGGCCCGATGCACCCTCCCCGTGCTGGGTGCAGATGTTATCTGAGACGAGCCTGGAGACCGTGCTGCTCCTCTCTAGGTCAGACAACGACGGATTGGACAAAGAGGTAGTTGCGGATGAGTTGAAACTATGGGTTCTATCAGAGTCTGGCAGTGGGCACAAAACTTTAAGGTTCTGACACGGAACCGTACATGTAGTCTGGACTCGGTTCTATGAGTTTGTTGGCGTTACTGGTCATCGAGGACAGCAGCGATCAGGGAGGGGACGAGAGATACACCGTCAGCAAGAACTCCGTAACTAGTTACTTGGAGTTCTGATTTAGTTAGTACTGTTCACACCAGGCTTGGTCCACAGTGGGAAAAGTTTATCTTCTATCTCACGTCGCATCCTACCCCATGAGCATGTAAATTTGGCAGAATAGTATCCTAGGTAAACCGAAACGTAGCACAAGACATGATAGGAGTCCTTGTACAAAGGGAAATCCCTTCGTCTCACAGACTTCAAGTCACTTTCACCGAGGGACATGAGTCCATATGAAACCCAAAAAGGTTTTCACTCCGAGATGCTAAGGAATCTTTCCATAACCTTCCACTCGTCCTAGCTTTCCTCGTATCACCATTGACTCTTTGGCTCCAAACCGGTCCGATGATCTTCTAGACAAGGTGGGGCACTGTATAATTCATACGAACCTTGCAGACTCCGTGATCGGAGAAATCCATAATCAGGTCATGAAGTGGGAAAATTGTATTGCTCTACTACTAAAATACAGCCGTCAAAGTTTTGTCTGGTATCTGTGTGATGATGTCTCCCTCCCGACGCCTGTAACTCCGTCGCACTAGCTAAAAAAAAAAAGAAGAAAAAAAACCTCGAGAATGGCAGGGACCCCTCCAGTCCTCCAACCGGCTTTTAGTCGTATGGTGTCCGAGGAAGAGCCTTGACCCGTGCTTCAGGCCGGCCGTACACTGAAAACTTTGACTGCAGACTCGGATTGGAACCAACGCTGGGCGTCCGCAGATGGGGAGCGCCGACCCCCTGGCTCACAAACTGTCCAGCCGGGTTGATGTGAGCCCTAGGCGGGGGCACACCCCTTGGCGAGCCGAGAATCGATTCAGGACTTATGCTTTCATGACTTCCGTACGGTAGCCTTGGGCTAAGGTTGCCACCAGTGGGAAACTGGGGGCTGTAGTTGCCGCTCTGGAGAAACTTTGGGCTCATGTCGGCCAGGGAGAACTCGTCTACTTGCTGCGGGCGTCGAGCTGGTGGATGGGGTGGAGACGCGGCGGCAGAGTCTCCCAAAGAGAGGGACAGGTTTTGTTTGTGTCTATTCCTCCGCGAAAGTCCCTTTAGCATAAAGGTGTCGTGAATTTTGCGTTGAAACGTCTTGGTCGTCCCAAAGACGAGAAATGCGACCAGGCTCGGTGTCACGCCGGCCACGTAACCCCTGATACTGGATCGTGCCCGCTTCACGCTGAGGTCGGGCTCCAGGTTATCGGCGGTATCGATGGTGTGGCTTGCGGCGGCGATGCGAGGTATCACATTTGTGTACTCGAACACACTGTATGTATATGTACAATGGTTAGCATTCATCCTGGCGCAAGGTTGAACATCCGAGTACCCAGTTGTCCGGTCAGATGTGGCGTGACTGACCAAAGCACCGCGAAGGCGATCGATAGTCGAATCACCAACCAACTGTCATATGTGTTGTTGGTGCCGGCACCGCTGTATGCTCGACTTCGCCCGCCTCGGCTTGAACCACTTCCCAGCCAGACGGACCGCGCCTTGCTACTAGGAAGCGAGGAGTCAATGTCCGCGTTCCCGTATAGCACGTTCCAACTGGTGAGGTTCCGTCGTGAGTGGACGTATTTCAAAAGGATCATGAGCAGCAGCACAGCACTCCCAAAGAGGCTGAGGACGAATTGTGTATTGGCAACAAACATGTACACCAGGAACGATTCCTGGGCTGGCGGGGAATGCATCAGGCCGACGGTGATACTAGTGAGAATGATGGGCAGGACTCTTCCCACGATGGAGATGGTGTGAGTTGTCCTCGGCGTTGTCGCGAACCAGCCGTAGACGCTAGCGGCCAGGGATAAGGCACTTTGTCAATGTTAGAAACACGATGCCTCTCATGAAGGGACTCTTGATATCGGGCTTACAAGAAGAAGACAAACGTCGATGCAATGGTGAACCCAAAGATGCCTGTCGTCCCGGTCAGTCAGCGCCGCACGTCATCGACGTTTATATGAGGCAGCCACGCACGAACGTAGCTGAGCACGAGCTTGATGCCCTGGGATCCCTTGTGATATTGAACCTCCGCATTGTCGGCGTTTTGTCTCGCATAGTAAAATTGTTCCGTCAAGATATCTCGCCAATAGGCGTAGTCGTAGAATTGTTGGCAAATACTTGTCGTCGTGATGATGAGAGTAGCGTAGGAGATGCAGGCAATGTCTATTCAGAATGTGTAAGACGGAGCCCGGTGGCCGTGAGATGATGGGGGATGAAGGATCGGCAACATACAGCTTGTCCGGTCATTATGCGTCCAAAGGAGCCATACCAGTAGTATATTAGAGAAGAAGCAAATGAAGGAGTAGCATATTACCGCGACAGCTTCGGCATCGACAGCGGCCGGGAGTTGGAATACCATCACGACAATTACTTGCGCTGCGACGTCATCCGTACATGGCGATTTCGCAAGAAACCGAGTTGTAGGGGGCCGAGCTTCTTTGGTCTCCTGAGATTCCTCAAGCTCAGACGAGGGGATGCCACGTTTTTGATGCGCACCCAACCGTCTGCCCATCTTACAAATCCGTGCATCCCCCTCCCCGCCGGAAGCTGCAGATGCTGGGAATCTCAGCCCCGTGTGGGGAGGCTCTGTTGATGGTTTCTTTTCCAGCTCGCCATCCGACACGGAAATCTATACAGTCATGCTGTCTTATTGCGTGGGAAGATGACTCGCTCAAGACGAGGGGTCTCCTTTGGGATGGATTCCCCATCTCCCCGAAACGAACCCCTGGTCAAAGCCTATCGCGTGGACCGACAGAGGAAGCACAAGGTTGCGCTGCTAGCCGGATAGGTAAACCGAGATGGTGACCCTGACTCGTCCATCGACCATTGCTGCAACCATACCTGAGTTTTTTGCATATTAAAATAGCGTCTGGTATAGTACCGAGTGAGCGTGATATCGGACAGCACGTGTTGTCCGGGTATCACTGGTACGCCCGAACCTGATTGAAGTACCATGTCGCTGCACTCCAAGTCGCAACTTGAGACTGCCGGATCAAACTCTCGGTACGAATACCATGCCCCATGGGATGATGAGACAATTAGACGCGACAATCCGAGTTGGATTCCTTCTCGCCGCGCGGGAGTTCATGCCATCGCATCTTTACGACAGAAATCGCAAGTTGCAATGGGCGCCAGTGTCTACTCAAGTACTCCGTCAGACCTGCCACGCGGGCCTCCGAAGATCCTGAGGTCCAACAAGCCCGCATGCGGATACATGTGGAGTGCGAAGTGGGTAATAGCCCCGAAAAGAAACACGGGTGATCGATCTAGCACCTCGTGTCCAACGGTCGGCGGACAGTAGGGCCGGGTCAACGGAGTGCCGACCTTTCCACTCCACGAGCCGCTTATGGCCCGTTGCTGGATGAAGGGAATGGCATGATGCCACTCGCCAAAGTCCATTGAGCCTTTAATGAGACTTTGTACGACTTGGAGTCTATCTATGTTGCTTGACAATCTGGTTCACCTTAACTTTTCCAATAGGTAACACCATGTAGCTGAGCCTTTAAAGTCTGCCCGCCGTGGTGACAAGGATGAAGGTTGATTCCCTGTTTTGAGCAGCTGTCAGACACGAAAATTCAGGATCAATCCAAGAATGTAGCCAGAGAAGACTTGTGGTGATATGTGATGTGGATAGAAGGAATATGTACATGTAAACATGATTGCTGAAGTTCTTGTTTTCTTTGCTGCTGAGATATGGCAAACCTGATCCCAGACGTAGGAAAACCGCAATATTGAGCGCTTCGCGCTGAACGCGGCTCGGACGAAGCGCGTAATTCCTCGCAGGAGCTGGGTTTATCACTTGTGGTGTCAATGTAGAACATATTGATAGCAAAGACTAACTCGAGAGTGCCTGTCCGAAAGGGCATGATACACAATGCCCAGTGCAGGCCAGAGTAATTCCCGATTTGCGTATCTGTATTGAGAATCGCTAGTTGCCCGTGAAAGGTGCCTGTTGCTGATTCGCCCAAGTCCTTCCAGCTGAAGTTGAGGCCCATGAACAGACCGACGCTATGAGTGATCGGCATCTCAGCTCTTCTATTTTGCGCTCAGCCACCACCACTCTAGGGGCGAAGCGCGCGCCTGATTTCTTGGCGCTGTATCCCACGAAGTTCGGGTTCTGGGGAGTTGACAAGAAAGCCTCGCGTTCCTGGCTGCCCCTATCTAAATGCTTCATGTCGTCCATATAAATTGACCTGGAGGGTTCTCATAACTTGAGCGCCCCGGCTCCGTTCTATAGTCTCATGCACCTGGAGACAGAATCAAATAAACATGGGACTGACACTCCAAGTTGACACCGACAACGACAACGTCAGCCAGGAGGAGAACGACTGGCTGCAATATCAGGAACAGGCCGAGTCTGGCAGCGACTGGGACTCGGACGATGAGTTCTTCGACGAAAAATCAAATAACCCTTTCATCCGAGCCGGCTTCATTGCCTTGAACTTGGCGAAAAAATGTGACACGTTCTTCGCCAAGGTTGGGATACGGAAGGCTGAAATGTTCCGTCACCCCCGGACTGGAAATTGCATGAAATGTGGAGGCATGAACCAAGGGTTCTTCTCTGCAATCATGAGTATTGAAATGGGTGCCGCGGCTGGGTGTCCGTCTTGCAGTATCATCAAAGCTGGCGTGCGAGCATGCCTACCAAGGCATATTGCCCGTAGCTCCAAAGTCTCTGTGATGGAGAGTTGGAACTCGGGATGTGCTGGACGCCAGTTTATCAGAACGAAAAGGAGATCAGCAACAATCCCCGGTGCTTACGGCGTCATCGTTATCAGGAGCAGCCATCTAGATATCAGCAATGTCTTTGTCCGCTCGACGGAGTTGCGAGAGGATGTTGTTGCCGAACTCAACTTTTTCGGCACCAAAGGTGAGTCAAGTGTCTAGAGTGTAATCTGCCAGGCCGTTCTAATGCCAGGACAACAGAGGAACCGGCATCGTGGGACTCCATCGGCCTCGCTTACCACATATCCGGAGACACGTCCTCAGACGAAGCTTTTCGGTGGTTCCGAGCGCGCCTAGAGCACTGCATTTCGGAGCACTCATTATGCAAGGCGGCAGACAACGACGGCCGAATGCCAACCCGGGTTCTGGACTTAGGGCCTTTCGATGGTCTTACTGAAAGCGAGGGTTCGCAAGAGACATCCGATGGTGATATCCGACTTCACGAGACCCGAGGTACTTGCGACAGATATGTCTGTTTGAGCTACTGCTGGGGGGGCACCATAGATATCCGCTTGACCAAAGAACGATATCACTCATACACAAATCGCATTACTTGGTCATCCTTACCTCAAGGGTATCGAGATGCAATTGGACTGACGCGCAAGCTTGGAATCCGCTACATCTGGATTGACTCGCTTTGTATCATTCAGGACGACAAGGAGGATTGGAGGGCAGAGGCAGCTCGCATGGCATCTATCTTCCAAGGTGCTCACGTCACCATCTCAGGGACGAAGTCCTCGAGCCCCCACCAGAGCTACTTCACGCAAAGCCCAGACAAGTACATGGCAAAGAGAGTAGAGCATTACGATGGCGAAGGGAAGAGATGGTTTGCAAACGTGCGGCAGACCGTTCCGCACTTCTTCTCGTCCGACGCATCTGGGGAACCAAACTACAGTCCGGGCGACTTCCCTTTGCTAAACCGTGGCTGGGTGTTCCAGGAGCGTCTTCTATCTCCCCGAATACTACACCTGGGTGACGTAGAGATGGCGTGGGAATGCAACGAGGTCTGCGCCTGCGAATGCATGGGAGAGACCACAACATACGAGACCGAACCGAGATGGGCGCATACCAAAGGTGCTCACGCACGAAACCTAGCATCTGCTACTGAGGCCAAAGAGCTATACCCAGATTGGCGCAGCACGGTAGAGAACTACAAGAAGACGAGGCTCACCTATCAGAATGACATCCTCCCGGCCATTGCAGGTGTTGTAAAGAATATGCAGAGATTCCGAAAGGACAAGTACTTAGCCGGGATCTGGGAAGACAGCCTACTCGACGATCTCGCCTGGCAGGCTACTCAAAGCGTTTTACACCGGCCAGACAAATGGACAGCACCAACGTGGTCATGGGCATCCGTGACTTCAAAGATCAACTACTCCAACCTGCGTACGATCCTGGCGTCTAAGTTCCTTGTAGAACCCGATCTGAAGGCGCAAAGGACCGTGGTCATTGAAGCTTCAACAGAGTCTGCTGGAGCAGATCCCACGATCGAGGTCATCTCGGGTCACATAGCTCTTTCCGGCCCGATGATTACAGCGCGCTTAGAGTGTGACGAAGAGGAGGAAAATAACGATCTTCTCCGAACATATTACGCTTTCCATGGTAGCACGATGTTCGAGATAGCCCCTGACTACGATTTCCGGGCGCCAGGGAAAGACTGTGTGCCGCTCGGCAGCACTATTTATCTCTTACACTTGTGCAGAGAGCCGGAACTTCGAAACAAGAACGGTACAGGCTATAAGAAGATGCCAACCAAAGTCTTTTCCCTCGTCCTCCGAAAGGTGGCTGATGGTGAAGGCACTCATGCCGATAGCGGTCCAAGTAGCAAACTTGAAGGCAACGTAAAGAGCGATGAGTCTTCAATGGGGCCCAATGATGGGACGTACGAAAGGATTGGAATATTAATCTTAACCAGCGATGAAGATGGGATGGAGGATTACGTGGTAGAGAATGGCCGAGACTGCGTGGTGAAGTTGATCTGACCTGGCCACGTTTGCTGTTGGAAAAAAGAGCTGTGGGCAGTATCTCGTCACCAGGCTTAGGCTTCACACATTGTGGGAGGAATTCTCATATTTTTGCCAACTAAGTTGCTTGAGCATGTGGTGCTACGCCACATCTCAAACATGGAGGGATATTTGTCTTGGGAATCAGACCAGAATGTACCGAGTTTTATACCTGATTGCTCGAACTCGAGAAGTAATTGCCGCGTGAGTGTTTACACCGGTCACACTGGCATAACTATGGAGACTGGCGACAGCAAAAGTCCTTTCCGCAACAAATTCTCTTGAATCAGAGTCAAAGAAGAGTCAGATGTCATTGCTGTGATCTGGACAGGTCGATGTATCCTCTTCCTTGAGGTCGCCAAACGGAAGTCAAAGTTTCTTTGTAAATTGACATGTACACTCTGGCGTAGAGGAGCTCATGATAAGCCTGTTGAACGGGAGAACTCGGAACAGACCAGACTTGAGGCGCTCACAAGGTTCGAAACCCTAGCTAGCAGACTCTTGGCCGATGCCAACTGACTTGGCGGGCTTTCAGAACCATGCGGACACCTTTGCCACCGCGGCCTCTCAGCCTAGCGCCGAGGTGAATACTATTTCGTTGGGAACAACAAAGATTCTAGCTAGCCACTTCAGCTGGAAATGAGGGCTAGAATGTAGAACACTTCTTGAACGCCGGCTATCAGTTAAGTAATGCTGCATATTCCGACACACACTCATCTCGAAGATTGAGCTCGAAGAAGCAATGAACCGGTCCAATTCCATGGGTTAGATACACACATCTTGACTTCCATGGCCTGTTCCACAGTCTCCGCTATACAGCCCCGAAGCAGAGGTCTTGGATGAGGGGCCAATCGTGAGACCTTCTTCGCATGCTTTTGCCGTAGCCGTTGCTGATTTGGAAAAAGAGCGAACCAACGTGAGCGAGGCAATGTGAAAGGCTGCAGCGCAACAGATCCGGACATTTTGCACATTGCGGGGCGATCATTTGAATCTTAATAGCTTACCCATACTTTATATCTCAGACCTCACAGTCCATATACATTGAGCATGTACCTTGTAGGCTGGGACCAGCGGCGATGTGCTAAGGTGGCTTTGGCAAGTCTTACTCAAACGCACTTGGCCGCCGTTCATCAGAACACGCGCTTGGAGAGCTGGACCTGGGCCACAAGTAGCGAACGAAAATATTGCGGCCGGAAGACAGTCGACAGAAAATGTATTTTCGGGGCCTAGACTGTTCAGTCCGTATGTCAGTATCAATAATCGCACCAAACTCTCCCACCCCCGCTTGGGAGCTGGCCCTGTGTGATTCTTGCCCACAGCAACCCGAGAGTAAGAAGCCATGCAACTTCCCCACGGGGACGTGAGAGATGGGCATCAAAGATACAGGTCTATGGTATTGGCCGACATACACCAAGACCCCATTGCATTGCGGTGGCGCGCTGCAGCCAAGCCGTTTCTTGGACCGGTATTCCAGCCGCAGCCACCAACGGCGTTCACTCCGGCGTGAACAACCCTCCCAATCTCTGTGGATAGGACCACCTTGGCGGCCCCATCCGGCGTGAACTTTGGGGGAAGAAAGAGGGGAAAGACTGGGTATGGGGTAAAGTTGGGGGAGACGAGGGGCTAGAAAATTGACAATATCATTCCTTGATCTCAACGAGTCAGTCCCTTTTGACCTACAAATCGCAAGCAAGCCGGACGCTCTGCATCATATCAAAGACGAAGTCTAGGGATGGACGGGGAAGTGGTGACCTCTTGTCCCCAGAGCTCAGGGTACCACGTTTAGGTGGACAGACCCAATTTGGCTGATTTGATCGGTCCGCCCTGCATAAAGCCTCCCCAGTCGTCCATGAGCATACCGGCCTCGACACACGTCACACCATTCAGTTCATCCGCGGGTGGGAGATCTGGCGATACATTTAACCTCAACCATTTCCCTCGGTGTTCCTCTTCCCCTGGTAAAGTATTCTGGGACTCTGTGCTTGACTTACTCTCGTCTACCTTCGTGAGACTTCATTTTCAACGTGTGCAACTGCTCCGATGCCCATGTCGATTTTTTCCCCTCTCGCCAAGAAACACAGTGCAAGCGTCTGCATGCCCAGCTACGCCTCCTAGCTCTGGGCATTCTTGGCTGGCGTGTGGTCTTATTCTTTCCCGCCAAGACAGCCATGTCGAGAGAGAATCCAATTTAGCGTTCTTGGGTGGGCTGGGTGGACAATTACGGCGCCCAGAAGAATATGCCTCATGGTCACCGACAAATCAAACTTACGCCGTGCCGGTCAGGGAGCAAATCAGGCCGGGGCTAGCAGCCGGGAACGACTGGAACGACTCGAAGAGCTGCCCTAGTCTGTCTTGACTTCTACTGTGGATTAGAGGGCCGGGTGAGGGTCGCTATCGGGCTCGAGATCTGGGGAATTATGGCCGCACCGCTTGTCAACTATCGATCTCGTATTGGGCATTCCCGGGGACGTGCCACCGGTACTATCCCCTTGAAGCTCCAAATGAGACTTTTCCCCACGGCGTTCATCCTGTCTCTAGCATTTTACCGCGAGGCCCCCCACCCTGATGGAGCTGAGACCTCACAGTTGCGACGTATGCCTCCTTGACTGTTCGACGCCAGAGATGGTTTGCAAGGATGGACAAGTCAGGCCGCCTTTTGTGGATGGTCACCTGCGATCCCGCATCTCTGCATCCGTGTTGGCCATTACCGTGCGTAATATTACATGGATGCCACCGATGGTCCATTGCTGTGTCATTGGGGATAGCGGATGTGAGTTCCTGACATCAATGGACTGCCACGGCTGATCCAGTTATTCCAACGTTTTGCAGACATAGGCCAGACACCCTTCGCCCGAACTATGCTGAATAGATGCATCTCCCCGTCATCTTAAAGGTCTACGACGTGATACGAGCTTCCTAGCGAGCTTCTACGCCCGCTTCCATCGGGATAGTGCTTGTGTGTCCAACGTAGCGTTTCCCACTAGCCGCTTTAGAAGCGCCGTAGGCAAGGCTTCGTTCAGAACCATTCGGGCCAGCCATCGAAGAACAACTTAAGCAACATTCTAGCCTTCATCCAAGTGTTCTAGTGCGCTGGGCTGGAACGAAGCTTTCCCCTCCCTCAAGTGCCGAGCTAAATTACACACGACCTGCCTGCCTTCGCCAAGGAAGAGGGCTTGGGCTACGTCTGACACGACCTATCGTTATTGGGAAAACAACGCAAACATAAACACAAGAACGTGCACGAGCACACCACCGTAGATAAACACCCGGAGCCTGAGCTGTCCTGCGCAAGTTATTGATTACCTCTGGCACCTTGTCTGCTCCTTTGGCCAGGCTTGGTACAAGGTTGGCACTTGTTGGCCCTACTTGGCGCTACACCATCTCCCTAACCCTGAGCACGCATTTCGCTCTCGGCAGCGCTTGTCGGAGGAGGTAAGGATTCTAGAATGCAGGGAACTATCGTCGGATTGGTCCACTCTCTTCCACAACCAACCTCGAATGGCGTCGTTCCACCCGGCAATTTTCCCCCCCCCAAAAAGCTCGCGCCACCGTGCTCAATCTAAAAGTATCCAGCAAGGAGGAACGCGGGGAAAGCTGGATTAGCGCGATATTGATTGCGTCCACTTTCCCCAGGTCAGAAACCGACCTCCCACTTCCCCAGATGGAGGCAATGGCACAGCCCCCCTCGACTTAATCAAGTGCGGGCGCCCTCGAGTGAATGTGGCGGCCCAGATGAGGCACCGCCATGGCAGCTTCCTTAGGTATCACGCTCTTTTAAATCACATTACTGGATGAACAACATGAAGTTCTCAACCTGGGACGAGTCATCATGCCGCAGAGCCAAGAATCAGGCCCACCACATTCATCCTCGAAAGCCATGCCTCCGGGGATTTTCATCGCTCGCCCGGCAGTCCATGTCACCACCTTGAAAAGAAAACAACACGATGAAGCTGGGGAGAGGCACGCTACTACTTGCCAAGAGACAAGGGCAATCAAGGGTAAAAGCAAGGCCATGTCACATTCCCCAAGCTTGGTATCTCTTGGTAACCTTCTTCTGTAGCACATAGTGATTCGTCGTGACTCCTGTCAACGCTTATAATAGCAGCTAGCTGGCCAATGTACACCATCAGCTCCATCTGTACGCATCCAGGGTCGCTCGCCGCCCGCCTGGGCAAGTCTTCTCATTCTTGGAAATAGCCAGGGGGTGGTCGTTGGTGTTCGGAACATGTCGGGCGTGACTTGGCAGAAACAAAATAAGTGAGATTTCGTGATGGATATGTGTGGGCGTAAGCAACCCAAGACTCGCCGAGCCCATGCCCCTAGTCGATCGCGGGCACGACATGGGAGCACAACGTGGACAGAGGCTGGAGGTCCTCCCACGACGGTTAGGTCTGGGCATTCCCGCCTCGTACGAATACAAAAGGGCTCCGAACCCCCGTGGGGAAATGGAATGAAAAACCTCGCTCGACAGGGTGCAACCAGCTTAGCATTGCTATTATCCACCTGCCAATCTTCCTTCCCACCTCTTTCGTCGCTCGTCTAGACTTCTGTGAAGTCTCCGCCCAAGGGATTGCCAGCATCATGACCTCCAAAACCAACACCGCGGCTAAAAATGAAGCCGACAGAGTCAAGGACATGGAACCTCAGATCTTCGAGGACGAGAACCCAGAGAAGCCCATTCCAAGGAACACTGGCAAAATCGATTACTCTGGTGCTCAGGAGAAGACCGACCCCAAGGAGATTGCTCTTGTGAAGAAGTTGGACAGATGGATCATGGTATTGACATCTTTCCAGTCTAGGCGATGCCTTCTTTGATGAAGTAATTCTTTGACTGACTGATGCCTCCCTTCAGCCGATGTTATGGTCCATGTATTGGCTCAATGTAAGTTCATGTTCTGGACCCCCAAATCAACAAATACTGACAACCTTTGCGCTAGTACCTTGACCGCAATGCTATTGCACTTGCCCGTCTAAATGACCTTGAAGAGGACCTCAACTTGACTGGTTCTCGTATGTCTGACAACGTTTGATACTTGTGCTGAGGCTATCGCTAACTCATCTATTTGCCAGAGTACCAGACCTGTGTTTCGATTCTCTTCGTCGGTTACATCTTGTAAGAGACTCCATACAGATACCCGTCACTAGTTTCGCAGCTAATGTCATACCACTAGAGGACAAATCCCTTCGAACATGTTCCTTACTCGAACCCGGCCTAGCCGTTACATGGTACCTACTCACAGCTCCCAACTCTAAACTCGAGGAGATACTGACGCCGTTGCTTCTATCCAGGGAACCATGATGATGCTCTGGGCTGTTGTCAGCGCTCTCACTGCCGTTTCGAAGGACTTTACTGGACTTCTCCTCACCCGATTCTTTCTCGGAGTCACAGAAGCTCCATACTATCCCGGCGCTGTCTACTTGCTTAGTATCTTCTACACCCGAAAAGAGGTTGCTACACGTATTGCCATCCTCTATACCGGAAACATTCTCGCCACTGCTTTCGCCGGCCTGATTGCAGCAGGAATATTCCACGGCATGGATGACCTCGCTGGCATTGCAGGCTGGAAATGGTTGTTCATCCTCCAGGGTGCCGTGACATTCGTCATTGCTGTCATCGGCTTCTTCCTACTCCCCGATTTCCCCCAGACCACCAAGTGGTTGACACAGGAAGAGCGCGACCTCGCCTACAACCGCATGGAACTCGACACCGTTGCCAACAAGGGCGAGACCAGCACGTGGAACGGTCTTCGTCAAGCCGCCAAGGACCCCATGGTGTGGATCTTTTGCGCGATGGCCCACATGCATCTGGCTGCCAACGGATTCAAAAACTTTGTAAGCCTTCTGTGTACTCGGTTGACACGTGAGAGGGGAAAAGACTGACAAATTCCCAACTAGTTCCCGAGCGTTGTCAAGACCCTCGGATTCAACACGACTATCACGCTCGTACTCACCTGTCCGCCTTACCTCATCGCTGGTGCGGTCACCATTGCCGTATCTTGGTCATCTGGCAAGTTCAATGAACGTACATGGCATATTACCGCGTCCAAGGCCGTCGCGGTTGTCGGTTTTATCTCGGCCACTGCCACAATGAATCTGGCCGGTCGATACGTCTCAATGGTGATCTTCACCATTGGCACATATGGAGTCAATTCGGTACTGTTGTTCCCTTTTACTCATCGCTAGAGTTGTCGGCGTAGCTAACTCCAGAAACAGTTGATCCTTGGTTGGTGCGGCAGTGTCTGTGGTCAAACCAAGGAGAAGAAAGCAGTGGCCATCTCGATGGTAACAATGATCATGAACATCAGCTTTATTTGGACGCCTTACCTCTGGCCCAGTAGCGACGAGCCTCGCTACGTCATCGCCATGTCAAGTAGCGCCGCGTTCAGCATTGCGACTGCTTTGCTGGCATGGCTGGCGAAGATTCTCTTGAAGAAGCGCAACGAGAAGCTGAGGGCTTCACCGGACGAGACCGCTGTCTTTTACGTCTACTAAGGTAGAACCAAGTAGTTCTGGAATTTGCTTGCAGACGATGATGCTGGTATTCCGATGATGGAACACACACTCGTTCAGAAGTGGAACTATGGCTACTTCTTCGTTTGGTCTTGGACGCACACATACATGATGCATAGTACTTGAGTAATGCTATTCGTGTTCTTCTCTGACTACCTATGCGTCTACCAAGCCCCTGACTTGGCCCTGTCACTACAACTCGGCATCGATGAAGTACTCGGTGCCACAATGTCCAGCCGGCCGGGAAACTTTGGCAGGCGGCAAGTCTTATCAAAGCCTTTTCTGTGATAAGAATCTGAATTACATATGGAGTGGCCCTGGTTAACAGTAGACCTCCACCATGGTTTCGGACCGTTGCATTCGGGACCTTGACGAAAAATTATGATGTGGTCAATGATTGTGTCTCCGTTGAGAGGTTTACCTGAGCACCTTTGAATGCTGTGATACTAATGTTTCTAGGGAATCTTGGCACGATCCCAACTCTGGGCAAAACGGCTCACGTCTTTCTACCCACTATTCCAACAAGGCCGTCACACTATTCCAAGATTCATTTGTGGAAGACGAGTTTAGCTGCCAATCCTCGCTTCCTGTTTGGGAATAATACCGATGTGGTAAGCTGACGCGACATGTCTCCAGTGGATTCGCATCTGTGATAGGACAGTGGGCGTTAGGGGCCATATTTCGATGCCGTTAAAGGAACCTCGGATTAGGCCGAATTGTGATGCCTGCGCCGCCAGGGATCGACGGGGGTGAGTGAACAAGCGAGGCGGCTGAGGTCGCCATCATTTGCTTAGCCTATTTTGAGAGAAGGAATCTCGATTGTGGCGGCGACCTTTAAATGTCAGCCCTACTGCCCCTTCCACGCCGCTCAGGTTTCTGCGCAGAATTTCCCACCGCCGCCCAGGGAAGGGCCCTCGGCGATGTCAGCATCAACCAGGCAACTCAATAAGTAAAGAAACAAAATTTCGATCTTCCATGGCAGACAGTGCCCTTTCAAAGCCCACCTCATCGTCGGTGGCCCCGGTCTCGGCGCCACAGGTACTGAGCTTTGCGCTCAATGACCGGCCAAAGGCAAACAGGAGACAAGCTCCGAAGTCTCGGGCAGGCTGTATCACATGCAAGTGAGTAGCAAGACACAAAATTACGCTTGGGGAGATGCGCCCATAACTTTCCAGCAGTTCTTGTGATGTTACGAACTAACAAAAATAATTAGAAAACGACGCGTCCGCTGCGACGAGGGGAAGCCAACTTGTCTAAATTGCAGTAAATCAAAGCGAGCTTGTGAAGGATACACACCAAAGACAAAGGGAAACGAGTATAGACTACAAGAATACCGCCCACTCCTAATTCGGCCCAACTACGAAACGTACATGTTTACTGCACAACTCGAGAAAGACCAGTTTGAGTATTGGATGACGTTCAGCAAACAGTTCACTCTGTTTCCGTCGGATCTCATCACGCAGCTCATGCCGCAAATTGCCCGTGAAGAGCCGGCCATCAGACACGCGGCTTTTGCCATCGGCGCAGCCACTTTAGGCAGCGATAGTCGCCGTCAACGCACCGATGGCTCAGGCCTTTTCCTGAAGGATGCTTTGCAACATTACGGAAAAGCCATTCACATCATCCGATCCAGCGCAGCGTCAAAGAGAAGCATCCCTCGCGCCCTACTCTCCTGTATTCTCTTCGTGACGTTCGAAGCCATACAGGGCAATCATCTAGCTGCGCTTACCCACATTAACTATGGGTGCAGTATGCTTGACCAAGTCATGAAGCAGGGTGTGAGTGGAGAATGCCCTCCCAAGCTGATTGACGAGGTTATCTCGGGATTTCAGCGCTTCACCTCATCGTCATGGACGATGAATGGATATCATCCGACCGAGACTGAAACTTGGGTCCCTTGGTGCTGCCGCGGCAGAAGGAGTCGCTATGCAGTCGACGAGCTTCCAAGGAGCTTTGCAACGCTTCCAGAGGCCCACCGGTGGTGGGAGGCTATCCAACACTTCATCATATATCAAACACAGATGCATTCGGCATTACATTTCGAGGACTTAAGGACTCCTACGAATCTTACTAAGATTCCTAAACATCAGGTCAAGAGATACATGGGAATTCTTGACCAGTGGCACATCCGGTTTCAGGCGTTATTATCACCGTCAAAATCCCCGTTTGAAAAAGCGCCTGATGAGCGACGACGACTGCAAGTATTGAACCTTCAGCTGTTGCATAAGTCACTCGTAATTTCTGTAAAGAGCTCTCAATACACGAACACAAACGTGTTAGTCAACTCGACAGAGGAATTCCGTAAGATTCTCGCTTTGAGTAGGATGGTCCTCGAGGGACAGTCCAACATGGACCAAACCCGAGAGGTCTTCACCATGGAGACCAGTCCGAGCTGGGCCATTCTTTCCGCGAGCATCTATTGCGTGGATGCAGACGTTAGAACGGATGCGCACCATTTGCTACGAGACTTTCCTCGCCGGGATGGTATTTGGGACACAAGATTATTCGCTGCGATATCAAAGACGAGCCAAGACCTGCGCGCAGAGAACGATTGGAGCGTCGACGAGCATTTTGGTGCGGTTCTTCTCAACAAAGAGGTTGTTATATACAAGGATGAGGTGTGTAGGAGAAAGTATGAGCTAGCAGACGGCCAGTGGCGGATCATAGAAGAGCAACGGATACCAGTGTCTCCTCGGTGATTCCTTGTACTTATTGATAGATCTCGGCGAGCAACTGACGCTAGACGCACTTGAAATCCGACACTATCTGGTAGAGAAGTCATGAACAAAATGTCTGGCAACTTTTTTTTACAAGACCAAAGGAGAGTGAGTTGACTAACGACTTTGACAAGACATGTTGATATTGGAACTTTTTTGCTTACAAGCGACTCGAAATCCAAGCCAGATCTGGAGGCTGCGTACTTTCTATCTTCTAGAAGTAAATTGGTATGTAAAGTATCCACTATAGTAGCCGATGAGAACCTAAAGCTGAGGCATAAGGGAAGCTCTTTCTGAGAGCATGTCGTTGCAGTAGGAAGTGAAGGCTGCTAGCTGAGATGATCGGCATCCGGTATTTTAAAAATAGTAATATCGAGTAGTCTTTTCAACTGAGGCTTCTTGATCAAGCAGTGCTTCTTTATAAACACCAGATTCCCCGAAAGAACAACGATGGTGTTTCGCCCCTACTTCCTGCTCCTGGTACCTGACTTGTGAAACTACTCGACATCTTTGCATCATCAGGGTACCCCATATCCCATATAGTCCAGTGGTTAGGATACTCCGCTTTCAGTCCCCTAGAAACGTTCCGGAGAGACCCGAGTTCGAACCTCGGTGTGGGAACATGCATTTGACACATCGTGGCGCTTGCGGTTTTTTTTTACGAGAGCGTCATCTACTGGATCACTACGAGCAAACATACCATTTCCATATTACATTCAGAGTGTATCATAATATAACGATCTAATACGAGTAGAGCCAGTTGTTTCGGTGTCTGTAAACACTTTGATGAAGGCCCTGCTGGTACCAGTCGGCTGTCCAGACGATGATTGACTGACTTGCTTGATATTTCCGTTGGGAGATTCCATCATAGCTGTCATAAGAGACTCGGGACTAGAGTAGCTTTAAAGTGGCGACGCCTTCAATCTCTAGAAGGAACGTCTTTCATCTTAAACGCGATGACACTCGCAATTATGAAAAGAATGGAGTTTCTCAAAGGTCCAAATTCCAATACACCATTCTCTTACGGACCAGACGTACGACGTCATTCATAACATAACGATCACGAGATAACCTCTGAGCTTCAAGACGGGATAAAAATAGGTCTTCAAATCCTAGGATTCCCATTCTTGCTAGGCAACGCCTCACTGTGAAGCCGAGGGTGTTGTTGGACCATAAGCTACGACTTCTATCTCCACCCGCATATCATCTTCGCCCAAGCGCGGGACCCCAATACATGTCCATATGGGCTGGTGATCTGGCACGTAATGCCTGAAGTTCCTCACCACGGCTGCCAATGCCTCGTTGTTAATGGGTACGTGGTACGAGTTAACTCGGAATACCTGAGACCAGGCCTCCCCGCCAGCGTCTCTCAAATTCAATTCCACATTCTTGAAGGCTTGATCAATCTGTTCATTGATTTCCTTGTGAAACTCGCCAGATACTGGGTCCCAGCCGCCTGTTATGGATGAAAATCCAGCAAACCCATCCAGAGAGCGATTGAGAGGTGGTGAAGTAGCCATTCATACCTTGGCCGGCACACTCGATGCGGTCGCCAATGCGAACTGCCTGGCTGTAGGAAAAGTTCCTTCTCTGCCTGAGACCATGGTCCGCGTACGCGTAATATTGGAGGTGGGACATGGTTGTCAGGCAATGAGAAGGGGGCAGGGACGGATGCGAGGACAGTAGTGCCGGTCGAATTGTTGGAAGATATGGTTCGTGAGTCGGGGAGCTTGAGGACATGGGGTAGCAGTCGGATAAATATGGGCATTGATGAATCTTATGGTCTCATTTTGTGCGGCCAGAGATCCAGGCTCTTTGACGGCACTAGACTATCAAAACATCGCATATTTTATTATCAAACGAAACGATGCATCTTTGGCACAATGCTCTTGAGTCATATCCACGATACCTGTTTGTCTGATGTCAAATATATCGCGCAACATGGTGACAGAGGGATCTTGAAGAAAGGCGTCAGCACATGTAGCATGCTATCGGCAAGTTGACAGGATGACAAGGACTAGTTCTACCCAATCTCTGCGATCCGGCCTTCTTATCTGGCCTATCTTGTTTCAATCGGTTCTTTGGATTCTCGTCGCTAGAAACTGGCCCATTTTAAGGAGAACACGACGGCGGAATTCATCTTTCGTTTCACTAGCTGCGGGGGTTATCTATTCAAACCAAGCCCGTCCACGACTCAATGTTGACCCGACGCTGTGTTGTGCATTTACGTGTCAGAATGCGTGACTCACAATCCCAAATCATACATGATTGCAATGATAAGATAACAACCGTATTTCATCTCTCGGATGGAATATCCAGGGTAGTCGGTTAGTGATAGATTGACGCCAGTTCATGTAATTTGTGGTGTCATCCGAAATCAGTCTACCCCTTCCCGTGTAATCTTTATTCTAATCGACCCCAGCGAACGATTTCGAAAGCATAGAGACATTCGAAGATAGTAGATATTAAAATAAGCCAGTGACCTGGCTTCTGGGACCAACTCTCGAGACCAACTAGCAATATGCTTCAAGCATCTGTGCCATCTTGTCTACTGAGATTTCTACCCACCCAACAGACTTAGAAACAATGGCCGCGGGACACGAGACGCCCGCTCTTGTGGATCTTGAGAAAAAGCTCGGAGACGATGCCGACAATGTCTCCATCGGAGCAGGCTCTCAGGACCCTCCACCAAGGAGCTGGCTTACCAAGTTGCCGAGAGCCTTATTGAGCTCTGCCGAGACTCGAGGCGTAGCGCCGGTTCCGATCGAAGAAAGGACCGTTAGGAACACTTTGCAACTATTCACGCTGTGGCTCACTGCGAACTGCACTACCCTTCCGTAAGTTTTGACATCTCTTATCCATCTTCCTCTTTTGGGGAAAATTGCCTTTTATTCACTGGGCTGACGGAAACCATCAGAATGACCACCGGCATATCCGGAACCTTGGTCTTTGGATTAGATCTTGCTGTTGCTTCGGCTGTCATCGTGATCAGCACCCTCATCTTCATGCTTCCTATTGCCTGGCTGGGTACGATGGGGCCCAAGACTGGGATGCGTCAAATGATACAGACGAGATACTACTTCAGGTATTCTAGACATCGTGTCTCGTACTGTTGTCTTCCATTGCAGCTAACTCGAAGAATAGCTATTACTTTGCCGTTGGCATTGCGTTGCTACAAATTGCCACGTTGATAGGCTACACTATCATGACGTCTATTGTCAGTGGGCAGACTCTCACGGCTGTGTCCCAAGGCGATCTCAGCTTGGCTGTTGGTATCACAACCAGTGTTGTTGGCGCACTGCCCATCTCCTTTCTGGGCTACAAGTACTTGCATTATATTGATCAATACCTGTGGGCTCCATCTCTTGTTGCTCTCATAATTGTTGCCGATGTCCGTGGGAAATCGTTTGCGAGGACTGGTGCGGAGTCCGTTGTTATCTCACCAAGAAGTTTCTTGACATTTGCCGCTGCGTGTGCAAGTCTGTGTACTAGTTGGGCTCCTTTGGTCTCAGACTTCGCCGTATATATTGACCCTTACACCCCAAGGTACGTCTGCTCATACATATCTCAGCGTTCAACGAGGATCTCTCGGGCTCACTTTGTGTCTCCTACAGATTCAAGATCTTCTTATGCGTCTACGCATGCTACAGCGTACCTTCAATTTTGCTACTAATTCTGGGTGCTGCTGCAGGTGCCGCTGTGCCAGGAAACGATGCTTGGGCTGAGGCGTACGGACTATACTCCGTCGGCGGTATCATCAATGCTATGAACTCTCCCCTGGGCGGATTTGGAAAGTTCGTCTCAGTCCTGCTGGCGTTCTCTGTGCTCGGCCTCACGGCGTGCACTCTATACTCACTCTCTATTAGCTTTCAATCCCTTTACCCGATTCTCAGTCGTCTTCCCCGATATCTGTACTCGGTTGTCATTGTGGCGATTATTGTGCCCATCTCGATCGTCGCCAGCTCCAACTTCTACAACTCCCTATCCAACTTCCTGAGCGTCGTTGGATATTGGACGGCTTCTTACAGTAGCATTGCGCTTACTGAGCACTTCTGTTTCCGTCGTGGTCGTGCTTACAACGTCTCTAATTGGGATAATCCCAAAGCAATCCCGCTTGGATTTGCGGCCGTGGTATCGCTTTGCTGCTCTTTTGGGCTGATCGTCCCTTTTATGGAAACCATGTGCGTTGGATCCTGATATTGGTGCCATCTGTGACGAGACTACTTTATAACTATTCATCCCCAGTCTTTGAATAAGTTCAAGTTGTATCCAGGACCTGGGATTATTCCATCGGCACCATGTCGTTTCCTTTGATGACGGTAGAAGGTATCATGATTGGTGTCAATCTCGCAGAGCTCGAGCGAGTAGGACTGCGATGAGTGCAAAGATGTTAGTCCTCCACGGCAGGATCAATGTATTCACCTTGGAATCAGGACCAGCGATTCCGTCGATGTCACCGAAGGCGTCTTTCGGCGCCTTCATCCAGAACCTCCCAGCCGCTATGCCTGCCACCAGACTCGACCTTGATCATTACTCATTAGAATCAAGTAGATTGTCGAGCTGACATATGGCCAGTTGCTACTGTGGCTGCACGCATTCCGAGGTGCTAGATTGTCAATATTGGTTGATCAGCCGATGTCTTGCCGGGGCGATGTGTGCATCCTTGAGGTGCCGTGGTGCTTGATGGTTGGCCTCATCAACCTAGCCGATGTCGTGCTCACATCGGGTGTGCAAGGTACCTCTAAATTACATTTAAGAGCGAGCTGTGCCCACCAAGTTTTCCTTTTGTTGTTCAGAAACTGTCGGAAAGCTTCTCAGTCTTTACAATGGCCAGCCTGTTCAGTTCCCCCGAGACACAAAGCGGTGCCTTGATGCTTCCGGCCACTTTCCGGCATGCCTCCTCGGCCGATTTGGCGGCATTGGCATTTATCGACGAGACTGCAAGCGTCGCTACATCCTGGAATAAGCAATATTCTATCATCCACTTTCAAACTACCCGCATGGCAAACGGTCCGAACGAAACGGCCACATGATTTGATAAGAAGTGCCACGTCAAACGTTGAAAAATGCCCGGACTTGTGGGAAAGCAAAGAGTGCATCCGGGCGCAGAAATACGCTGCAACCTTGCGGAGAATTTTGCAGGCCAGGTCCTGGGTCTTGGCAGATGGCCGTTGACTTGGAAAAGCAATGGGATGCACGATAGCAAGACACTGCCAGTGTGAGGTTCTCAGCGGGTGAAAGGAGAAATTGCACGAAAAAGAGGTCCAAGTTAACAGCAGTCAAGGAGCCGGCATCGAATTGAGAAGTTGAGACAACATTTGGATCGCAGCCGACGTTACCCTCTCCTCTTTCCAAAAAACAAGGCACCAAGCGCCTACGTCGGATCGCTTCGCCTGTCACAAGTAGCCTCGGGGATTCAGCTCGGAAAATCTTGGAAGTCGATGATCCCCTCTGAAGTCTCGTCGTCAGACGGATTATCAGAAACACCCCAAGTCGCCTGGTGCGACGCTTGCAACCTTAGCTAGGGGGTCGAGACGCGCCAACCAACATCCATCGCCCACAACGCGGAACAGCCAACCGCGACGGGAAAATTGCCATTCGCCATGGCAGACTCCAGGCCATTTTTGCCGAGATTTGCATTGTCACAAGACTAAAGTGACTGGCCAGGGGCCGTGAACCTTTACGATCGACTCGCGGGAAACCTCAGCAAGCGTTGAGCAACGGCGTTCTCCATCAACATCAACAAGGAAATATCAGACCAGGTCCGAAGTCTCGTCCCCACAGAAGTTAGAACCAGGGAGCGGTTGTCTATTCAGTGCTCACAGACCGTTGTGCCGTCATTGCCGCAAGGCGAGATGAGGTAGATCTTTCTCGGACGGCTTCGCACGGCTTCGCACGCACGCACACACGCACGCACGCTCAGGTACGACGCGCGCCGTTGAGAGCGACGACCGCAAGCCTCTACTGTCGCGTGGAGCTACGCGGCTGGCTAATAAGTCAAGACTGAATAGCGTCTTGGAGGGAGCGCGCCATGCGTGATGCAAGACAAACCGTGGCACAAGCTCAAGCTGTTGCAAAGCTTCCTACGCCACGACGGACAACTAAGTAGGCCAACTCGCGCTGACAACATGGCTCAGAGAACAAGAGGAAGTCTGGATGAGGAGGGGGGAGGGGGCAGCCGGCTTGTTCGGCCGATCTCTTGAGCGACTGGAGCCACATCCGCTGGCGCATCCCTGCACCGCCCCAGCAAAAGGACCGGACTGGGCTCTTTGCCAGCCAACGGACCAGCAAAGGCAGCATCGGGGTCCTCGTTATGGTCGTTTGTTCCCGCTCGCTCTGGTTTAGAGTTAATTCAAAAGCGGCACCCCATTGATGAGATGAGCATCTTTCATCTCAGGTCAAGTCGCGATCAGATTCATCCCGTACTTACGGAGTAGAAAGGAGATGATGGATTGGTCTTCTGTCAATCTTATCAATGTTAATGTCAATGTCAATGTCAGTGTCAAGTGTCAGTCAGTGCCACGGCGTATCTACATGTGACAGAAGCAAATATGGCGTGCAGCTTGATCCATCGCCAACGTCAGCTAAGATACAAATGTCCCATAATCAGATGCTTTTTTCTTCTCCGTCTACTTGCCGCAATTTTCCATATTTCCCTGCAACAAGACGTAACGAGGAAGCAGCTTCACCTCGGCAGGCTTGCATCCAAGCAGTACATGTAGTCAGGGACAGGGGCACCCAGGCCGCGCCATTCCAACAAAGGAATCGCGTCGTGCGGGGGAAATTGGCATCTCCCCAGACAAGCAGCGATGTGTGGCCCTCCCCTGCTGGGCTTCCTGGGCCTCCTCCAAGCCATGTGTCCACGTCCACGTCGTCAAGGCACCCCGAGGGGACGCGAAGAGTGCAGAGTCTGCCTCAGGTGTGGTGAGGTTGGCCCAATCAGGGCAGATATGACACACGGGTGTTACCTAGTCGGGAAACATGGACGGAGGGATCATGATGGTTGCTGGTGGCTGCCGTGTGTTCCTGCATCTGCCCACCTTGTCCCGCTTGTGTCTGCCTGTGTCCGTGTCTTCTTGTCTTTCCAGGTATGATGCGTGGCTTCATGTCTGGTGCCACCTTCTTTCTCTCTCTATCTCTCTCTCTCTCTCTCTCTCTCTCTCTCTCTCTCCCTCTCCCTCTCCCTCTCAACCTTAAAGAGCCAGACCCGGATAGATTGACAAGCCATTGCTAGTCCAAATTGCCGAAATGCGGAACCTCTACGTTTTTATCATTGGCATGGAGAGGCAGAAGTGGATTCTTGCTCTATCAAAGTCTGCATGATGACCAGATCGCCCGCATCCATCTACAATCGCAGAGGTGAGATGGAGGCAAGAGCCAATATGATAGTGTCTCCAACGATCTCTTAGACGTGGTGTCGAGAACTTTCCAGCTTTCCAGCTTGTTCAATACGAGCAATGACTGCACTTTCGGGCCCGGGGGCGCATGTGCCACCCGACCGCAGTTCAATATTATTCCGTATGTGGGACTATGGCCTGGCACCCTGGGTCTAGCAAGGCCAAAAGTCATCATCTTTTGAATTAACTTTGCAGACTTCCAAAGCCCCCAAACTTACTTCACACATCCGCAGAGAGTCAGGAACCATAGCCAGAGGTTCATCTGACAGCTGCAGCCTCCAGCTCATCCAACGTCTGAAGAATCACGTCTAATGCCACCGCGACGCTTGGCCAATGGCAATTCCTCGATTCCCCACCAATAGCGCGACAGGCAGCCAAGAGATGCTCCCGCCGTCATCCCCGGTCACCCCGGATTTTATCTGTAAAGAGAAGAAGAAGAGGAGCATTAGATCCCAGCTACGGAAAACCACCCCTATTGTACTCCGTAAGGGTAATCAAATCAATGATCATGGCTGTTGCACGTCCGCCAAATCCCAGCCACAATCTCACCAGTCCTTGGGATTCAACGCCCATGAAAGCGAAGCGCCATGTCAGCTAATGCCTAAGATGAACGAATTGGCTCCGAAATTACGCTCGACCCAACATACAAAGGTCCAACTTCCCAACACTGCAAAGCCCAGGTCCATCTGCATCATGTAACTCCCCTTCTTGGAAATCGATCTCCTTCTTCACATGTCCAACGACATGAGTACCGAGCACAACCTGTGCCCTTCACACACACCACTATCTCCAATACGCGCTCACGCGCCGCAGTGGCTAGGATTCTGAACTTAGCTAAGAGGTAATAGAGGTCAGAAAGCCCACTTCCCCGGCATCGCCTTGACCCAAGATGATCCCCGTCCTAACGGAGGAGACTATCCAATCCGGTATTCCCACCCGTCCACACCCCTGTTCCTCTGCAACCCTCGCCTCTGCTTAATACGATCACCGGCGCAGCCCTGAGGCCCGCAGACCACTCAAAGGTCGGGTATGCGCGGGGAATTTTCAACTACGAGGTAGGCCTTGTTCTGGCTCTCTTCTTTTTCATCATATCGTTGCAGCGCGCATGCACAAGCCGACTCCATTCGGGCCTAGCAACCACTTTTCACAACCAGGGTCTCTCAGCTATCCATTTTCCCCCAGATTCTTGCCTCGCCTGCGCAGTAACTCTACTAACGGAGATACTCATCCCTCCGGGTTTCTCTGACTACTCCGGGTGCGTGCCAGTACCTAGTCACTGTACTTACTGCAACTGCCTGTACATACTCTTTGAAGGTCCGCCTTGAGTTGTTTGCCCCGTCCTAGCCCTGAGAACCTTGCTTATTAGGTTAGCCAACTGGATCCACGCAATTCCTTCTTCTCCGTTATACCTAGACCTCCAAGTCATCCTAGTTCGAACGTACCTCCTATACCTAAACAGCCGAGAGGCATCAGGGTGTAACCACATGTACCCTGTGTTCCGACCTCTATCTACATAAAGCCCTACCTTCCTCAGCCTTTCCTCAGACTCTCTCTTCTTCCGTCTTTCATCCACACTCGCTTGTCTATCATACCGACACCTGCTGTCCACTATCATAACACCTCACACACATATTCCACCTCTAATCAACAATTAACAAAATGAAGTACGCTTACGCTCTCGCTGCCCTGGCCGCTGTCGTCGCCGCTCAGGTTGACCCTACCATCATCCCCGAGTGCGCTCGCAAGTGCTTGCAGGACGCCACTGCCTCGGCCACCAGCTGCAAGGATGGCGACTACGTA